ACCCCCGGATTCTATTTTGCTAAAGCTTGCAATTTCTTCTGTGTGTCAATGGCACTTAAAATCTGTTTGTAATGGAACTTGATTGTATCCAGCTGTCACCAACTGTTCCCATGCCACCCAAAAGACAGCTGGCCACGTGCCACCGTTTGGGCATTCACTTGGAACAGAGGCACTAATGCTCTAGTTCCCACTAGACTTCACCAAAATGTTTTCATGTATGAAAAAAAGCCCAGAAGGGGCGGGGGTAGGGTGCAGAGAAGGCAATGCAAAGGGGACTCGGTGCGAGGAGAACATCCAGCCAGTGTCTGGCGGAGGGTGGGCCGGCTGCTTGCTGAGCGGAGTCTGAGTGCGTGCTCACAAACCAGCTCCCCTCAGTAGCCTTCCCAGCTCACTCATCCAGCAAATATTTCCCGGTGGCTGGTAAGCGCTCGGCCCTGGATGGGGACAACCACCACCGGTCCCTGCCAAGGGGACATATCTAACTGGAGCCACTTAAAACAGAAAATGGCAGAATCGTGCATTTAAAAGGGAATAAAAAGGGCATTGAACATTGATCGTTTCTAACATCCTAAGAACAAAAAACTACACAAGCTACATTTTAACAGCCCCAACTCCCAACATGGGATGATGAAGGTTGACACATCCATTTAAAAACGGCCATGAAAAAGTCATCGGTTTAAGTAAAAGAATCTAGATTCCCTACACACGTTTCACAGCAAGTGTTTGCCGTGTTCTTAGACTATGGGTTAAAATCTGGTCCTACTATGGTAATAGGTCGCCTAAACATCTAGAACCTACTTAAAGGACAGCAATTTTGAGACCACGTTTCTCACATAACATCTAATGGACATTTAGCAGGCGGGTCCTACCACTTCCTCTAATCAACCTCCTCCATGATGCAAACGGGGAGAAGAACCAGTGAAACGAGCATGCAAGACAGCACACGAGTGACAGCTGACAGTCACGATGACTGTAATCCAACCACTACATTTTAAAGGAGAGAACCACACATTGACCCCAATTCACGGTGCTAACTCGGGCAGACCCCCTAGAACGCAGGTCTCGATGCTCAGCCTGGCCTCCTTGCTGTCGCCAGGCACGATTCAAACCCGGCTCCAACCTGCCCCCACCTTAATCCTTCTGCAGCGGGAGCATGTACAGCAGTTTTTCCTCAAGTGTGAGCAACGATTCCAGACGGACTATGCTGAGAGCAAGCCTGTTCTACTCAGCACCTCGCAGAGGGTGGCTTCCGCCACACCTCGGTGCAGTCTGAGGTCGCGGGACTCGGTGTTGGACAGCCGCCCAGAGGCCTTCAGGAGACTCTGTATTCTTTGGGGGTGTGAAACCTTATGTTGGGGAATCATTTGATTAGTGTTTCTTGTCTTAAAAGACTGTCCCGGGAAAGGGCAGCGGGAAGCAGGAAGACGGTTCGGATCCAGGAAAGAAAGGACGGTGACCCACGCTGAGATTCAGGCGGTGAGGGCGGGGGAAGGCCAGACTTTCACGACCGAGGTGTGTGGGCGGCAGGAGGGAGGGGCGGAGGGTGGCACGGAGCTTCCGGCTTTGGTGACAGGGTGGATGGGCCCCTCCGCCACCCCGAGTGCGGGAGGAGGGCAGACAGAGCACTGAATTCAGTTCAGGCCAGGATGTTGCCAGGGGGGTGGCAGGGGGGTGGGATCTGTTGCTTGGAGTTGGTTGATTCTGGGCTTGATCTACAGGTTGAGTGTTCGTCAAATGCAACAGACTCACATTTAATGGACAAAAGAGCTCTTGGCGGGGGTGGTGAACGGTGTCAAACCCTGGGCAGAAGTCGGCAGCCCAAGCGCCACTGAGATTTGGGAATCGGGTCCCCGAGTGGCGCGATGAGGTCGGAGCAGTCTGGGGGCTCCGCAGGGTGAAGGCGTGGAGAGCAAATGAAAGCTCGACTGAGGGGAGGGTGGCTGGCTGGGAGGGGACAGAAGAAAATGGGGCTTTTTAGGGTGGGAAACACCTGAGCATGTTCACAGAAGGGGGAAGCGTGACAGGCAGGAGACAGGAAAAGCAGTGGAGCAGGGTCCCCAAGCAGGGGAGGGGCGGCCTCCGCAGCAGGTCTGGCATCTGGTCTACAGCAGAAGTCCCAACAGGGGCTCCAAGCCACAGTGCCTCGAGGGCTTCTTCCATCTCTACACAGGAACTTTCCTTCTCATTCTCCCACCCCAGCCCCACCCCCCACCTGAGAACCACCAGGTCAGAACAGCAGGTCTGAGAGCGTGCTCCCTGCCCAGCTGCAGCAGCTGCTGCCCCCGAGAACGTCAGAAATGCGCATTCTCAGGCCCCATCCCAGGCGGGCTGGGCTGAACCAGAAGGTGGCGGGGGGAGCCCAGCAACCTGTGTCTCAAGGACCCCCTGGGGACTCCGGTGCTCACCCAAGTTTGAAACACAGGACAAGGACAGCAGCTCTCAGTCCCGGCTGCCCACTAAGATCACTCGTTTTAACGCTGATACTGAGGCGTCGCCCACAATTCTCACTGCGCTCACCTGAGTGACGTCCCCAGGTGCTGCTGCACCATGAGCCACCACCATGAGCGCTGGGAACTCCCAGGGTGGAAGGAGAAGAGAGCAGATGGAGGTGAGTTGGTCTTAGCCTTGGTTTTCCCATGATTTGTGTTTTTTGCGGGGCGGGAGGGGAATTCTTGTAGCAGGATTAGAAATCATTTGCCAAGAGTAGTGGGCACACGGGCAGTCAGAGGGCGAAACATTTGCAATCACCCCTGGAAAAGAGACAGGAGCTGCTGGAGGGCCGGGACAGACATCCCGAAAGGCAAGCGCAGCCCAGCTGAGATGGGCAAGCAGACTCCCCCGAAAGCAGCTGGATGATCTCCTCCGATGCCACTCAGCCACCAGCAGGGAAGGACAACTCCGAACAAACTGCACTGCCCAGCATTGTGTGACTCAGTCCATGACAGCTTTGTCAGCGTCCTCATCTATATGGAGATCGTCCAAGCTACCGAGACTCGGGGCAGGGACTCTTGCCACAGTGCCCAGCATAGCACTGGCCTGAAGGTCCCCGTCACTGCCATGACTCCTGACCACGTGTCCAGGGCTTATGAACAGACACCCACCTGGTTCCCCAGGCGTCCGGACACCTGGATGTTTTCTTAATTGGAAGACGCAGGTCGCCAACTGCCCACTTTTCTTTTCTGTGACTGTCCCTGGGTTTCCTGTCCTGGTAACGTGCCAATACCACCTAAACACCTCCCTGAAACCAACAGCCAGCCTGGCCTCCCAACTGACTAGTCACCTCTCCTCTACATTCCATCAGGTGACCCCACCCCACTTCTGCTGCTACCACTGTACCCCGCCCCACCCCCAGGCTGTCCGCAGACTGTCCGCCTCAGGAGTCTGCAAGGCAAACCAGGCCTTGGCAACTTTCTTGCCTAAGTCACCAACCCAGCCACACCTGCGCTTCTGCTTTGCCAACTGACCTAGGGCTATCCCGGAGTCCTGATGGCATGACCCCACTCCCACCACCCTCTCAGAACATCACCCCACCCCGGCACTTCAGGCAGAGCCGCCACATGCTCCTTGTGGCCCCCACGTGTTTCCGTGACAGCACTCGCCCCAGCTGGAGCTGCGGGGCCTGCCACGCGACCGTAGGCCACCTGTGCGGGACCTTCACCGTGTGCACCTTTATATAGACTCAGAACCAGCCGTGCCGGGAGGCAGCTGTTAGCAGTGAAAAAGCTACGGTCTCCCCATCCTCCCAGGTCTCAGGACCCCTCCCCACCACTGCCCGGACTATGACCGTTAGCTCCTTCAGACACACCTTGGCTGGCAAAGGCCTCATCAGTCTGCCCGGCTCTCTGCGACCCCACTGTGCACCCTGCCTTGGTTTGGGTCCAGGTACCACCTTGCCTGCCCTGCTCTTACCTGGCTGTCCTCATTTTGAGCTGCTGGGCCAAACCCCTCAGGTGACTGGAGTGAAGACAAGGTGCCCCGTGTTTGATGGACGTGTCTCGGTGGAGAGCGTCGAGAAGTCACTGAGGGAGGTGAGCAGCTGGGGGGATCAGGTAACGGAACTGCCAAGCACCACTCAGGATAGAAGCCACTGGACTGGGAACCAGCCTCTGCCCCAGGACTCAGCGAGTTTCCTGATCACGCGTCCACTAGGGCTGCTCTCGCCAAATGCAACCTCCTGATCACTGGGCACCCCTGCAGGGATCTGCCTGCCCCTCCGGCCTGACCTCGACTTCTGGGACAGGTGGAACCAGCAGACCCTGATCCCTGCTCAACACAGCCCCTCTGTGGCCGCGACAGACCTGCTTAACACCACCGATTTCCATACTCGCCCAGGATAAATTCCTGTATCAACAGAGAATTCCAGTTCATCCAAACCACGTCCTTACCATGCCCCCTCATCTGTGGCTGAAGCTGCCGGGGTGCGGCGGGACGGAGGGCTGCGGTGGCACTGACCGTGGCTGCACCTGCTCCTGTCTGCACAAGCAAAGCTTGGCAGATCCCAGTCCCAGCGCCTGCCCGCTCTTCCGGCTGTGAGGAAATCTCAAAGTAAAATCTGTTATTTCTCCCTTACCTTTCCCCGCAGAAATCCAAACATTATTCGGTTAAAAAAAAAAAAAACCTCAGGGCTATTGAGTTTCCTTAATACAGTATTCACTTAAAATCCCCCACAAAGTTTAGTGAACCAATTCAGAAGATTTCTTTTTATTCCTGAATTTAAATAAGTATTTAAATAAATTTAAATATATCTCTTTATTCCTCTTTATTCTTAAATTTAAGACCTGCTCTAAATTTTTCCACCACGGAGAGCCGGAGGCACCGTTCCCCGTAACTGATGGCCGCCTGAGCGCGCGACAGAGACAACCGCTCATCTGAACTGGGGGGATGGCTGGGGGGATGGCTGGGATGTACCTTTTTAAAAGTCAAACAAAAAAGCAGACCAGACACAGGAAGGATTCACAAAAGCACAATGTTTATTGCACCAAGACCTTGGCAACGTGGGGCTCCCAGGCCCTGGAGAGGAGGCGCAGTACCCAGGGACAGACCTGTGCACACATGCCGGCGACATGGTCCAGGTGAGGGGACACGAGCCCCGGGAGGCGGCCATCGCACAAGGGACCCCGCTCCCCTCCAGCTGCCCCCGAGCACAAAGTTAATCAGACCCAGATCCTAAGTCACCAGGTGACTGCTAGTATAAACGCTTTAGTTATTCATATTTATATATATATATACATGTCACCTAGAGCGCGGACTAATTTTCTGGGCCTTGTCCTTTCCCTTCCGTGTTTGGCCGATGGCTTTCTGTGGAAGGAAAGGACTCAACAGTGACAGTGATAAATGCTGTCGAAGGTCAGGCCAGCACTCACCACTGCCCGAGAGATAACGGACACACTGTCCTCAGGAAAAGGTTCTGTAATTATCTAGTGGAGAAAGAAGAGGATGATTCGGAGGAGAGGAGGGAGACAGAAACGAGACAAAATCGGGTCTAGCAGACAACTAAAGTTTTCAACTACAGAACATCACAGGAAAAAACATGGCAGGGCCAAGAGTTCCCACAGGAATGAATGTCAACACCTCAAGGGGAAAGGCAAGGCCTGCCCCAAAGGCGGCTGTGTGCCCCAAGATGGTAGTGTACGAGCCACAGAACCGAAGCCTTCTCCAGCAAACACTCAGGTCAGCCCTCCGGGGAGGCCCACGGCACCCTCGGTCACCCACTGCCGGGACCAGAGGCAGCCGCCCAGATCAGACACAGGTATCATCTCGCTCTCCCAGCTTTTATAAAAAGAGAAATATAAAAACAGGAAGGAAAAAGCAAGAAGACCCACCCACATAAAAAAATGAATGTATCTCCTCATATAAAGAAAGCAGCTCTTCTTTCTCTAGCCCTGCGTGAACCCAGGCCCCGAGCAGGGGGCTGAACAAAAACAGTTCCAACTGGAGAGGTGCCACGGAAGAGGCCAGAAAGTCAGAAAGTGTCCAGCTAAGAACGGCCACTCCACAGGTGGGCCCAAGTGCTACCTGAGTCCCCCTCCACCTGTGACGGCTCCCGGGGGACAAGACTGAGGACGTGCGCCCTGTGGAGCAAGTTCAGACTGGCTCCTGTACCTTCTGCTACTACTAGGCCACTTGTCTTTCTTCTTGAAAATTATCACCTTCACTGAGGACTTCCCATATTTATTAAATTAAAAGTTTGCAGGCACAGCTTGAGCAAGATAAAAAATAATCTTCAAGTTATACATTCATCTAAATTCAAAAGCACTCACAAAATTGAGCAAAGCCAGCATTTGCGTATTAGGGAAAGGAAACATATTGCGAATGGAAGCCACAGGCCTGGCCAGAAATAAATGTTTTACACTATTAAGTAGCAAAATAAACGGACAATTCTACCCCAGAACACCACCTCAGTGAAACCTGTGGTAACTGCAGCTGCCAGGGACGCTCCAGCAAAGACGCCCCAGAAGGAAGAGCGGCCTCAGACGCAGCTGTGTCTGCAGGTGACGCGCCACAGGCCCTGCTCTCCGGTCTCCAGCCACGTACCAAGAAGGCGTGCTGCAGGGCCACCCCCCAATTCCATAAAAGGGAGAGGTGGCCACGTGGGGGTGGCCTTGGGGCTCTTCCTTTCTGAGGACAGACAGATAAGGCCCACAGGCAGAGGCCCCGCGGGCACGGGCAGGGCCATGCTCGGACGGCAGCACCAGCCGGGAGAAGCAAGGGACGGCTCGCCAAGAGCAGCAGCCCACCGCACGTCCGTCACCCTGAGAGCCGGGAAGACACCTGGGAGGTGTGAACACCGTCCCTTGCCCTCTCTGACAGCCCCAGACCGGGGCAGACACTTGCTGGTACAGACGCCACCGTCCATGAATACGAGGAGGTTTGGCCTGTCCCAGATGCCCCGCAGGTGCGCTGCCATCTTTGCTTAACACACGCGCTGTGGTTTCTCTTGCAGAGTTTGTCATGAATGTCACCAAAGAGGTCCTGGCCTACAGAAGCCCAAAGCCTCTGCGTCGGGTCATCTGCAGACAGTGGTGCCAGGAGAGCCCCCCACGGCAGGTTCACAGTGCAGCGGCCTGGAGGTGACAGGACAGCAGAGTCCCCACAGACAGCGCCTGCAGATCCAGGAAGTGATGCCTTGTCTCCGGGAGGCTGGGGGACAAAGCACATTCGTCCTCACAGTGAGAAATGAAACTCTAATATTCCCACTGCCACCCTCGGGCACGAGTCCAACGTAGGAAACCAACACATGGCATCTTCTGCGACTGACTAGTACACACCCAGAGACACACGCCCCCACCCCATCTCACACACACCCGCACCTCACACTCACACGCCCCTGCGAAACTGACCTATTTCAGCAGCAGCACATTCAGCGGCGGTAGCTGAGGCTGGCAGCCTTGGCTGGGTGCGTCACAGCCCAAAAGTTCCGTCTACTCTGAAGCTTCTGGAAGGCGTTGAAGTTCCTCTTCTTCTCTCTCTTGAATTTTTTAATTTTCTTTTCCTACATCAAGAATTATTTGGTGTCACAATTCCCAAAAGGGCTCTCACCTGACCCATGGTGGCTCCTTCTTGCACACACAGTGGCAGCTTACTGTGCAGACACAACTCTCACGTGCTTGCACACAGATTTATTCTTCAGAACAACCTCCCGTGGGAGGTCCCTGGTGCCTCTGCTTCACTGAGGAAGGGACCAACGCCGGGCCCACAGCCACACGCTGGGACGGGCCGGTGCTGCCCCTCAGCTGCTCCGAGCCCAAGTCCTCCCTGCTCGGCTCCCGCGGAGCCGTGCCGACCTGCTCCATCAAGCCCGCTGTCACGACCACGCGTCGTACCTTCCCCCGGTCAAACTCTTCATCCCAGGCATCGACCACAGTCTCGGCCCGGGCCAGTCTGCTGTCTTCCATGGCATCCCGACTGACCGCCGACATCTCGCCATCCCAGGTCAAAACTGCAAGACCCACACGCGGCGTCAGCATGTTTGTGGATGACCTGCTACCCTGTGGACTGGCGTCAAGAACGTTTGCCAACTAAACTGTTCTAATGATTCAAAACTTTTGAGTGCCTCCTTTTGGTGAAAATGCACAAGGAAAGGACGAGGGGAGAACAGAGTGACACGATGCGTGCAGGACGGTCAGCACAGAAGCCTCTCAGCAACTCTCTTCATCATCATCCGCCACCAGGCCCTCCTCTGAAGAACGAAGACCTTGTGTTCATTCTCAAGCCTGACTCATAAAAGTAACGCTCCAAGTAAGAGCCAGTGTCATCGAGGCTGGAAGAGCTTTTTCACACTGCCCCTTTTCCCCGACCGGAGACCCTGATACTCTGCCTGGCCCGGCCCTCCCAGAGGCACCTGTTCTGCTCCTTGCCCTGCTCCTGGATGCCCGGAAGAAGCTATTCTGGATGCCTCCATGGACAGAACCCCCTGCTGTGACCAAGGGGTTAAAGAGGATTCCAACAAGCGTTCAGATTCCTCCTCCCATTTTTAAAGCCAAGCAAAGCTTTCCCTCCACGTTCACGACACGCCAGGATCCATTCCACACCTTCCCCCTCCAACAAACTAACCGAAGGAAAACAGAAGTCCCGTCTCAAAAGCAGTACCTTTTCTCCCGTAGGCTCTGTCGGATGAATATTTGAGCAATTCCTGGACCACGTCGGATTCCCGCTCTCTGTTCCAGGAAACAAGAGGAGCCTGTACCAGCCCTGCAATCACAGTTGCATTTACATACGTTTAAAATAAACCATAAGGAAGCAATCTCACAATTTTTACTTGTAACAGAATTGCAAAACTTACTAATGATACTAACGAAGATCTTATGCAACAGAAAAGGCTCTCGTCCAAGTCAATTTGTGAAAAACAGAAGATGGAAAACAACAAAAAGGCAAAACACAAACCAAAAAACCCCTTATAACCAGCAGCGTAAGTCCTCACTGAGGGGAGGGGGGAGACCCAGCTCTAAATGGAACCCACCTCAGCCAGCACGGCGGGAGCAGCCTGCAGCCAGGCACCGCTGTGGAGTAGGGGAACAGCCAACTGCCGCCACGAGGGGCCCCTCAAGCTCCCAAGTTCCGTCCAGGGGAGAACCCGGTCACTGTCAACACCGTGCGGGTACACCCAGCACGTCTGGGCTAGGACAGCACTCACCACCCTCACTGGGCTCTAGAAATGATTTCTGAACTAGTCCTCTGCCTCCTGCCCAGTCCCCTCTGACCCGTGAACACACAACTCCAGAATGTGCTCTCCTCCCGGCACAAAAACCTGACGTTATCTCTCCTGCCTCCAGTTCTTCAGTGATTCCAGTGACTTCTAGGATCAGTGCCCCGACCCCAGCACAAGGGTGTCCACGGCCCCCTCGCCTGCCTCCCCTCAGCACAGCCCTGGGACCTGGCCAGGCAGGGCCACCTGCCTGCTCTTGCCATGCTACGTCTCTCCTGCCTGGAGACCAGGAACACCCTGCTCCACTCGGCCACTCTCCTCCGTACTCCGCACCGAGAGCAGAGCGGGCGGGTGTTCTCCTCCAGGGCCCACGCGCCGAGTGCAAAACGTCACCGCGTGGCTCTGGCATAGGGTGGTTAGCCCCGAGGGCCTGGGCAGCACGTCCTGGGACGTACGACCAGCACCCGGCACCATCCCAGGCACACTGCAACCGCTTAACCACATTCCTCAGACCCCTGCGCTAACAAGCCAGCTCCCCTGCTCTTAGGACTGCATGGAGCACGGCTCTATCGCCACTCGGTGCAGCCTCTTCTAGGACAATCTGCTGGCCAGCAACACACACAGTCCTCACTGCGCAGCAGTAGTGTTCTGCAATGTAATTCACACCATTCCATTTTTATTGCTAAGTTCCTTTCTTGGGAGGTTTTTCTGTTTTGTTTTTTTGTGAGACAGTGTCTCCTTCTGTCACCTGGGCTAGAGTACAGTGGTGTCATCTTGGTTCATTGCCACCTCAAAGTCCTGGGCTCAAGCGATCCTCCCACCTCAGCCTCCCAGAGTGCTAGGATTACAGGCGTGAGACACCGCACCACACCCAGCCCCTTTCTTGGGAGTTTGATAAGTATGAATCCTTCTCAGGTCCTATCTGACCCCAAATGCACTAACATAAGCCCAGCTGCGTGTGCCCAAGTGGCGGTGACTTTCTCTGCCCTTCACTTGGCAGACATGTATATGGCAAGAGGCTACTGAGGCCTGCCCCAGCCAGCCCTGAAGAAAACGAGAAAACCAAACGCCCTCCAGTGGGGGTGGTGCCTGAGGACAGCCACCGGCTCCCAGCGGCAAGAGGACCACACTAGCTCCAGAAAGGCCCAGCGACACGAAGAGATAAAGGAAGATTAACTTTTGAACCCAAGTCCTCTGTGGGAAGCCTCGAATCAGAGACCCGCTGCTCGTGTCCACAGAAAGGTCTGATGCTTATGGGTACCGTGCCTCCTGTGGGCAGTTTCGGTCAGTTGGATGCTCTGACTCCAGGAAGCTTCGACCTCGCCGCCCCAGGGAACAGACTGGGGGGGGTGGAACAAAGGTAAGCGGAGCCCCCAGGTCTTCTGTACCTTCACCCAGGCCCTCTCTGCTCCCCGCCCCCATGCCCAGGACCCTGCAAGCCCAGGTGCGTACCCACGCGGCCCCCAGGATGCTGGCGGCTCCCAGACGGCTCCGGGGCTGCGGCGTCACGGGGCCCAGTGCTCCTCTGGCCTTCTGGAGGCTTGTTCTCTTCTGCTTCCTGCTGTGACTCTGGCTTCCTTCTTTTCCTTTTCTTTTTCCTTGGAGACTCTGCCATGGGCTCAGGCTCGCCGCTGTCCGTGGGAGAGCAGCTGCTGGGAAGTCGGAGGCAACAGTCAGCTCTCTGCAAACCAGAGGCAGAGCAGGGGCTCACGGACAGACATCCCGAACTCTGTAGAAAACACCACCCATGGGACCCAGGGCACAGAGCAGGCCGGCTGTCCCCTGCAACACCATCCCTTCGGCACGTTAGCACGTGCTCTGCCGGACCGCAACAGCGGTGGGCTTGCAAGTGCCTGCTGCCCACAGCCATAGGTCCCTTCCTAACTGACGCAAGTCCAACGAGCTGGAAGTGCAGCCTGTGACCTGATGTAACCGCAGAGCCTGACCTGGCCAGGGTCCTTGGGCCATCCTGTACATACGGTGATGGCCAAGATCTGGATGCTGCTGTCCATCCCACTGTGACTTTAGGAAACAATGCATTGATGTTTTGTTTTCTCCAGACACAGAGTCTCAGTCTATTGCCTGGGCTAGAGTGCAGTGGTATCATCGCAGCTCACCGCAACCTCCAACTCATGGCATCAAGCGATCCTCCCGCCTCGGCCTCCCAGAGTGCTAGGATTACAGGCGTGAGCCACCGCGCCCGGCCTCGATCCACTGATATTTACTGCAGGAGACGTTTTACCCTATGCTCACATTTTAGAAGTTCAGATCAGTATGCTACACGTCCAGACCATGCCTACCTGAGAATGGATGGTTTGGTTTGTGCCCTGTTTCCTGATGGAGGCGCAAAGGAGCTGCCTCCTCATGCCCTTACCTGTGCCAAGGTGGGTCTTGGTGGAGGCCATCTTCTTCACCAAGTCCCTCCACTCCCTTCCTCCTCCTCTTCCTGTTGCTCACGTGGTGTCCACCTACGACACGTCCCATCTGCTGGCCGTTCACCTGTGGCCACGTGCCCCTGTCCTCTGGTCCGTCAGCAGGCAGCTCTGTCTGGCCCTTCTTCCTGCACTCAGGGCTCCAAGGCCGTCCCTGCGTCTGCCCCTCCTGCGGGACGGCTGTGGCCACGTCCCCCGGGCGCTTCCTCTTCTTCTTTTTCTTCTTCTCGTGCGGAGCGGGAGCGGCAGCAGCCCCCTCGAGGTGCTGTGGGAGGCATGTCTCTGAGCCTGGCCCCTGGAGCTGTCCCACGTAGCTCTTTTTCTTCTTCTCGGAGGGGCTCCGGGGGGACTCGCTGGCCTCTGGCAGCTGGTGTGGAAGGGACGTGGAGTCCCTGTTGACCTGAGGCATGGCCGTTGAGGCGGAGGGGCGGCTCCGTGGCTCTGATGTCCCTAGGGGCTGGGGGTGACTGGACAGTGACGCAGAGTTGGGGCTGATGGGAGGCTGCGGACGGCTGGGTGGTCGGGGAGCAGGTGGCACAGCCCTGTGGGACAGCCAGGCAACGGGGAGAGGCTGTTCTGAGACCGAGGACCCAGGTGGAGCCACTCCTCTGCCCACCCTCACCCCTCCTTTCACCTAAGCATTTTAAAAAGGTTTTTCCCTGTCAATTCTCAGATACACATAAATTACACATACGTTTCAAAGACAAGCTGATGATAAATTCAAAGTCTATTTAAGATCAAAGTTAGTAAGAATTGTTTGGTGTCGTAGTTTCTTGTCACCAAGCAGTTCAAAGCATTTTTGCAAACTCTAATTTAAAAAATTTTTAATACAAATGTGTTACAGGAAGGAAGCCTTCACTAAGCAGTAAATGGTAAGATTAAAAAAATCCTGTTAGGATTAACTTTCCAACCTCCCAAAGTGTGAGGCTGTTCCAGTGCAGGCAACGAGCCTCGTGAGGGGGCAGGTTTGGGCGCAACGCACCTTCCGCTATATGTCCCTCTGGATGCGGAGCGCCGGGAGACTGGGAAGGCAGACGAGCAAGGCTGGGTGACACGGCGCACGCGTAAGGGACGGCATCCAGCGCTACGCCAGGGGAGCCTCTGTGAGCCCCCAGCAAAGGTAACTTCCCCCTCTGAGCTACAGTGTCCTTGTCTGTGAGTGGCAGCCATGCCCACCTCACACGGTCACTGAACTACACAAGACTGTCATCATCAACATCCAAACCAGAACCAACCATACTGGCTGTGCCAACTGTACTATAATGCCATACCACTCTAAGTGTTTCCTGGAATTTTTTCAAAAAAGGTTATATGACAAAGAAACAAAGAAAAAATACCCAATATGTCTCAAATGTTTAAGGACCTCCCATGTGCAAAAATACCATGCTACGGGTGTGTGTGTGTGTGTGTGTGAGAGACAGAGAGGGAGGGAGGGAGAGAGGGGGAGAGAGGAGTGGCTGAGGCCGTGGGAACACACCAGGACAGCCCGCGGAGTGCTGCAGAGGCACAGACCCGTGCGCTGGAGCGACACTGCGCTCAGACACAGCAGCACCAAGGCAAAGCCGAATCGCCACACCCGCCTCCCGGCTCGCCTGTCATTCTTTCCTTCCTCCCCAGCTACCAAAGGCTGTCACATCCCCATCAGCCATCAGACGACCACCGTCACGGATTCTCAACCTTCTGCCATTCAGCACAGCCCAGAGATCAAGCACCCTCCATGCAACAGCCTCCACAGGGAGGGAAGGATCCGAACCTTCAGGAAGCATCTGCCAGGGTGCCGAGACAGCGCAGGAGCCCCAGGAAGGGAGCTCGGCAGGGCGGAGAGGCAGACCGCAGCACCGGGGAGTGCTGGTGGGGCACCACGACATGGCACTGACAGACAAGACAGCCCTGAAGGGGCTCACGGGACCCTGGGCTCACTCAGGGCCTTTCAGGGCTACAGGCCAGGACAGGTCACCACACGGATGTGGCAGGCAGGCAAAACAAAGACAGCACCGACGAGTCAGGACTGTGGAGACCGACCGCCTCTGACCGCCCAGGCTCCTTTCCACACGGGCACAGAGAAGAGAGGGCCTGGGCAGGCCGCCCCTGTACTCCGCGGCGGCACGGCGCCGTCCGCTCCTCTCAGCCAAGCACGCGCGACCGCGGGGAGAACGAGCCGGCACCCGGCACGGCCCGCGCCCGAAGCTTACCTGGCTTCAGGGACAGGCCACGCGGCGGCAACGGCGGGGTGAGAGGTTTTCATGGGGTGGGTGAGGTCGGAGGATGGTGAGGGGGGAGGTGGACGGAGGTCACTGCCGGTCGCCCTCCGCAGGGTGCTGGCCTGCAGTTATCGACATAAATAAAAACTTGGTGGTCTAAAAGAGGTTTCCGTGAGTGAAGAGGGAAAATGAAAGTAACACAAAATAAAAACAAAAAAATGAAAGAGCCCAGAAAGATGAGGGAACAGAAGGAAGAAAAAAAGGGGGCGGTGAGGGGTGGGGGAAGGGTAGAAGAAGAATCAGAAAAGTGTTTTTGGTTAGAAACAAAAAGGAAAAAAGGGAGGAAATTTTAATAAAACTCTCAGCAAGACAATTACATCCTCGTGTCGCTGCCACCTTGCCAGCTGCCTGCTACGGAGGTGCCAGCCAGCCCCAAAGCCTCTGCTCTCTGGGCTCCACCCGCCCGGCCCAAGCACCTAGATGTGTCCCAGTGGGGCCCCGCGCTCCTTCTGGGGCTCGGTTAGGATATTCCCATCCACAAAAACAGGGAACTGCTATCTCGCCAACCACCACGAGCCACATGGAAGTGTCACTGGATAATCAGGGGTCCCTCAACCCTCAAAACCTCCACCACTATCATCCCAAGACAGCCCTTTTATACCCTGCACGTGACCAGGGATGCCTGAAAAACACTTTGTTCCTCTGGAACAAGGGAGGACAATGTCCCCGTCCCCCAAACTGTAATCAGATCTCTCTGAGCCCTGCCGACACCTTCCAGCGACAAAACCCCCACACACCCACCTTCTTGGCAGAAAGAGCCAGCTTCTTGGCTGGTGGGGGAGACATGATGCTCGCAGGCTCGGGGGCCGAGTTGCTCAGGGCAGGGGACTTGGGCTTCACCACCTTGGGATCTGCTCCATTTGGTGGGGCTTTGGAGTGACCAGTGGCAGAACCGTTTGTTTCCTGAGAATCACAGAAAGGGGCAGCTCCACTCTTGGGGGTCCGGGGGCCCTTGGCAGAGTCACTGCTGGCTGAGTGTTCCGGGCTGGAGCTGCTGGAATGCCCCCTCTCGGGGTCGGAGCCCCCGTTGCTCCCCTTCGGCCCGTGCCCGTTGGCAGTGGCTCTGGCCAGGAGCTTAGGTGAGGTAGAGTGGGCGGCGTCCCTGCCGTCCCAGGAGCCCTGCCTGCGGCTCCCACATTTGCTGCTACTCAACGTGCTGGTACCAGGTGGCCCCTGAGAAGTTTTGAGAGGTGGGGAAAAGTGCTGTAGGGGCGCCGACTTCTTCACCTTCTTTCCGGGCTCATCCAGGATGGTCGGCGCGTGTGTGGGGGTTTGGGACAGTTTGGGGGAAGGGGACCCCACAGGTGGCTTTGGAAGAACATATCCGTTCTGTGACTTCAGGCCTGGATCAGAGCCATTCCTAGAAATGGGAACACCAATCTCCTCGGTGGTGTGGAGCTTCTTCGTCGTCACCAAGTCTTGTCGCTGAAGGACAGCAAAGCAGAAAACACAGTCAGAACCCCCGAGGAAGACCGGCTTCCTCACGGCGGCTCTCCCGCAAGCTCGGAGCCTGTTCTTATGGCAGCGCGCCTTATGTCGGCAAACTCGGGACCAGGCGTTTACGCGGGAAAGACGCTGTTACTTCTGCCAATGGTCTCAGTCCTCAGTGACCTGAGTGCATGAGTGTCTGTCTGCCTTTGTGCCCACCTCTGCTACGAAAGCAGTATGTTTTCATCAGCATTCGAGAAATACAAAAAAGTATAAAGGAAGAAAATGTATGAAAGCTCCATCACCTAAACAACCATTTATCAATATACTAGTGTTTTCTCCTTTTGGTCTTTTCTTCTGAATGGTTTGGCCTGCACAGCTGCACCCCAGTTTTATCTTAACGCTATAATCCGAAGCATGTTTATAGGTTCTATTCTCAACGAATGTTCTTAATGTTTGACTAGCAACCATCTCACTGTATGGTTAGTTTACATAACCTATACTCTCTCCCACTGTCAATGAAATTAACAGTAAAGTAATATGCATGTGTGTCCTTTGTCCTTCTTGACAGTTACTACAAGGTATCAAAACAGTTACTCTGGATTTAGAGGCTTAAGGTTGGCTGCCCTCTGTCAAACCCCCATCAGGCTGCACCTTCTCTCGTTGGCTACGACAGCCCTCGCCACTAGCTCAAGGGTCTGGTATCCAGCGAGTGCTTAAAAAATACTAGTTGAATGAACAATCAGAAGATTAAAGCTTTTTCTGTACTTAGTACCCCATGCTAATACTCTGGAAATGGAGTTACCAGGTTAGGACTATTTTCACAAAATTTCATGCATACTGCCAAATTGCATTTACTGTTCCCTGATCTGAACATGTATTTCTTTTTCAAAACATTTGCTATTAGATAATTTGACACTATTTTTGGCTCTTATCACTTTAATGTCCATATCCTTTGCACATGCACTGGAGTGATTTTCAGTCCTTGGAATGAGTTCTTTATGTTACAAATGTTAATCTTTTGTTGCAAATATTTTAAGTTTTATTTTTTTATTTCTAATATTTTAGGTATAAAACTTTAAATTTTAGTTTAGCCAATCTATAATGTTTCTACATTTCATCCCTCAATTTTTTTTAATTTCAAAATATTATGGGGATACAAATGTTTTGGTTAAATGGATAGTTTTATAATGCTTAAAGCAGGGCTATTAGTGTGCACGTCACCCAAACAGTGTTCACTGTACCTGACAGGTCATCTCTCAATTTTAAGCTTACGAGGTCTTCCCTCTTCCATAGGTTTACTGAGAACTCACTTCTATTTTCTTGTGAGTTCTTTCTCTTTTTCCCCCCTATA